TTGGAAAGACTCTGCTCAGCCTTCCGTCTGCCCCAGCACAGATCGAGAGGGAAGTCTATTCTTGGTTCTTCCCTGCCAACAACTCCCGGGAGCCTCGGATCTGAGACACAAGAGCATTTCCTGCACTGAGGACAGTCACCCATAGACTCTTTTAAATTCACCTCTAGGAGGGAAACTTACATTGCCTGATTCCCATGTGCTCTGGAGCTACTCAAGGTGCCATATATTCAACTTTAATCTACACTAAGAGCTGGTGATAGTAACACGGGTATTGAACTTTTCACTTACAAATGTAACACATACCTACTGATTACTTACTATGTCCTAGGAATAGTGGACTCCAAGTTATGTACTAGGAATACAGCAATGAACAAAACAAAGTCCTTGTGTTTATGAAGGATCTGTGTCTGGGGAAGATAAATATATGACTCAAGTGGTTATAAGTGCTATCAATATTATTAAACAGTGTAGAAGCCAAGGTTGATTAGAGGTTGCAATGGTCAGGAGAAGGCCCTCTGCTGAGGCAGCACTGGAAGCAAGTTCTGAAGGCTGGGTGCCTGGGGGAACAGCGTTCCAGACAACAGGAGAGCAAGGGAGCTGCACAGAGCTTCCTGGAGGGCTCAGAGCAGCACAGTGAACACGCAGGAAGAGGGCAATGTCAGAGGGCCAGCTCTCACAGGACACAGTCAGCCCAATCAGATGTCCATATTTTATTCTGAGAGAGATGGAAAACCATTAGGGAATTCAGAGACAGCGACATGAACTGATTTATGTTTTGAAAGCAAAAAATCTCCGGAAAACATCTGACAGGCTATAGTTGTCCTTGTGGCCTCAATCGTCATGGGTAGAACAGGAGTCTCAAAACGCTCCCATTTTCTTTTTGCATTTAAAGAGCAAAACAAACAAACAAACAAAACGCTAGTCTTCCTTTTATCACAAATGCCATCCTGATATGATAAACCAGGAGCGAGAGATGACCACCCCCGGTTTTGCACCACGCCAGGGCAGATGGAGCAGAGCGCTCAGAATATTGTAAGTCTGCAGAAGTTCTCAAGTTTAATAAAACAAATTAATGCAAATTAACTTCACTTGAATAAAAGAAGTTTCTTGCCACTTTTAGAAGAGGGACAGGCTGGAGTGAAATGAAATCAGAACACACAGTCTGTGTCCCAGAAAGGCTAGGATCACTGATTAATATCGGAAGTCTGAGACAGGGAGAGGACATAGCCATCACCTGAAATTTATTCATAAATTGCCAGCCCTTCCCAGATAACTTGCAAATAAAGTGTGACACATGTCTAAATATTTACTGGCTTGCTGACTTTTTTTTTTTTTTTTTGCTAATTAGAATTTTTTTTTGTTTAAGGAAAACAAACAGTGTTAACAGCAAATTAATGCAGAGAGCCTCAACAGTGGGACAGCAAGACAACCTACAGTCAAATATTAAGTTGTACTTTACCAAAATTGTATCTTTGGGAAAAAATTAATTGGAAATATCAGAAATGGTCTCTGAATGTAAAAAGATTAAGGCTACCCTACCCATGGTGTATAGTTATTAAATTAGCACAATAGATACAAAAGCATTTGTTTAAAATATAAAGAGTTTTCAGCAATTATTTATCCATCATTTTCCCTCAAATGTGTGTTTAGCCCCATACCGTCTTTCCTCCAAGAAGAGGTTGGATGAGCAATTTTGTAGCTGTTTCAACAAAATGAAAAAGCTATTTTAAGATGTTGTATTTGAGTCCTTTCTCCTTTTTTTTTTTTTTTTTTTAAAAACTTTTAATGGCTTTGCACTTTAGTAAGAGCCTTTAGGTTAAGCTAACACTTCCTACTCATTCCCCTCTGGGGCTTCTGTGAAGCTTAGAGGACCTTCACGATCACTTATGTAGTTTGAGTATAGGCCTATGGACTCCAGCTGCCCTGGCCAAAGAAGAGTCTAGTCAGAATGTTGCAGCAAAAAAATATCTGATACATGGTAGGAATTGTAGCCAATGACTGCCATGACAACTCATGTGGACTTCAAGTGGCTGAGCCAGGGAAGTGAGGTGGGAAGGATGCTTCAAGAGAAGTTGTCAGCCGGGCGCAGTGGCTCACGCCTGTAATCCCAGCACTTTGGGAGGCCGAGGTGGATGGATAACAAGGTCAAGAGATAAAGACCATCTTCGTCAACATGGTGTCTGTACTAAAAATACAAAAATTAGCTGGATGTGGTGGTGTGTGCCTGTAGTCCCAGACACTCAGGAGGCTGAGGCAAGAGAATCGCGTGAACACATGAGGCAGAGGTTGCAGTGAGCTGAGGTCGCACCACTGCACTCCAGTCTGGTGACAGAGCAAGACTCCATCTCAAAAAAAAAA